ACTTTAAAATGGGGCTTGATTCTTCAGTTTTCAAAAGATAAACATGAAAAAAAGGTATTATATAAACTTTGATGTTTTTGAACTGTGGTGCTGGAGAAGACTCTTCAGAGTCCCTTGGACTACAAGGAGATCCAACCAGTCCATCCTTAAGGAAATCAGTCCTAAATATTCATTGGAAGGACTGAGGCTGAAGCTGAAACCCCAATACTTTGGCCACCTGATTGTGAAAGACTGACTCACTAGAAAAGACCCTGATGGTGGGAAAGATTGAAGGCGTGAGGAGAAGGGGACAACAGAGGATGAGATGGCTGGATGGCTTCACCGACTCAACAGACATGAGTTCGAGCAAGCTCCAGCAGTTGATGATGGACAGGGAAGCCTGGCATGCTGCAGTCCATGGGGTCGCAAACAGTTGACAATAACTGAGTGACTGAACTATATAATCTAACATAAAAATAACCAATACTTAGAATTTTACATTTAGAAGGGATGCTGTTCAACATGATCTGGAACAACACTTTAATTTTAATGTTAATTCTACATAGCAGAACTGACTAAAGTATACAATGTTTGTACTATGGGTTCCCTCAATTGAGGGGAAAAAAATCAAGACACTGTTAAAGACTATTAGGCATGCGTATGCTCTATTTAAAATACAGATGCTTTGGGCAATGATTTTTTTCCTTCACTCAGAATTAAGACTTCAACCATTCTAAATGGAAATGCGAGCATATTTTAAAACCTTCTTTTAGAGTTAATCTTCTCTCTTCAATGCCACCACCTTAAACAGTTCTGATTGCTGAAGAATTTGAACATATTTCATTCGCACAGCCCATGCACACAAATCCCGAAAGAGAACATACCCTCCACACCTGGTACTTCAGCAATCTAAGCAACTCACCAAGTGCTTCTGAGCCACAGTTTCTTCATCTGTAAAATGGAGAAAATCTGACTTTGTTAATTCACGGGGATACAAGAACCAAACTGAATTATGTGAAAACATGCTTGGGAAGACTATTGATATACACAAAAATGCTTGATGTTAAGATTTTCAAATTCCCACATTTCACAGGAAGAAAACAATTTTGCTCCAAATGTTTAGGTGTAGAACCTAAATGGCTTACAGTTGCTAAATACGCATTACATATATTAAAACCAAATGTGATTTTTCTATTGAAAGTTTCTTCTAGGAAAGTAGAACAAGATGTTAAGACTTAGATATCTACTAATACATTTTAATACTTTCCCAGGTGGAGCACGCACTTTGACCACATCCTTCCTGAAGACAGGAATAGTCTCTTAGCAATCATTTTCACTATAGTAACTGGCTTCCCTGGGGGTTCAGTAGTAAAGAATCCACCTGCCAGTGTAGGAGACACCAGTTTGACCCCTATTCCCTGGATAAGGAAATGGCAACCCACCCCAGTATCCTTCCCTGAGAAATGCCATGGACAGAGGAGCCTGGCGGGCTACAGTCCATGGGGTTGCAAAAAGAGTTGGACACGGTTTAGCAACTAAACAATAAACTGGCACAGAGACTAGCTCTGTTCTTAATATCAGAATACACTTTTCCAGAATAAAAGTAAAATGTTCGTAAAAACATATATGAGGTGGAAAGACATCTGGCCTGGGGGTACAGACACTTGCTCGCACACCACATATAGCCTTGCACAAGTATCCTGAACCTTCATTCCCCTTTAAAAATCTAAAAGGGTAAGACCCTTTTATCTGATGTCAGACACCTGCCCAGAAAACTGCACACAAAGCACCTGAGTGCCAAAATGAGAGAAGCTTCTCACAGGTCCATACTTTACCCAGAGTGGAGGCATACTCATTTTTATTTCATGAATACTTACAATAAACTTGGTAATGTGGTTAAGAAATAGTTCCCATTGTTGGTTAAAAGCAATGAAATAGATCAAATGTCTTCTTCCTAATGCATGGAAAGAAACCAAATCTTCCCAAAAAGGGAAATTAAGATTCAGCCCAAAACCATACTATAGCTTAATGTCACTGAACACTTAACAAAAGTCATTCATTATAGCAGTCTCCATCTTTTATGCCAAACTTAGACTCAAACTGTGATGAATCCATCTTTAATTATGATAAAACAGAATCAAAACTCAGTAAATACTACATTCCACTGTTACCATGGTTACCCAAATCATTAACCTGGGTAAAATCTCTCTTTTACGGTTTACTTTTCCTTACTCAATTAATCTCTTCATTAATTGTTCTTATTTTTCACTATAAAACATTAATGGAACCACAAAGGAAAGGTTATCCAATTTTAACAAACATAGAAGCTATCCAAGAAACATTTTATATACAGAAATAAAGTGGATTGTTTTACAGGATTTATTTCATTTCCAACGATGCTAATATATTTTAAAGAAGTACAGTATTACCATTCACCAACTACAGGTAAACAACTCCTTCAAGAAATGACTGTGTCTGCAAATTCTTAAACTGTGAGGGGAAACACTGACTGAAACTGCCTGCCCTGGGCATGCAAGATAGTACCACTTGCAAGCTTATCTTAGGACACCAGGTCCTGATAAGGAATGCATAAGTACCAAAATATCACTAACTGGAAGAACTGAGGAGAGGTCAAAAGGAGAGAGGAGACTCCAGTCCACATGTCCTACCAACCTCCCAGAATCTTCCTCGCTGGACTCCATCTTCACTAAGCGATGCACTGGCCACCGGGAAGGATAGAGTCAGACAGATTGGCCAGAGACAACCTGGAAACTAACTCAGTTACCATGAAACATTAACCACGAGCCACCTGGCAAGGCAGCTCTGCTGGGCTCCCCGGTCACCCTGCTGCTCTCGGCCCAGGTGGCCCTTCCCAATAAAGTCTCTCCGTTTGTCAGCATGTGTGTCTCCTCCGACAATTCATTCTTCTGAGTCTTAGACAAAAGTCCACTCTCAGGCCCTGAAGGGGTCCCCCTTCCTGCAACAATAGCATGAGAGCCATGAGAAAACTTAATACTTTCAAGACTGACTTTGAAAGGACTTCTATATATCAATAATGGAAATCAAAATGCATATAATTCTCTTGGGAATTTAAAGCAGCTTACACCAAGAAGCTTAAGAATTCTGAGCAAATTCGAATACGCTCTCTAGATGTAATATATAATGAAAATTAATTTACAATGTAATGGTAAATTTTTACAAATGAAAAATATGAAATATATGAAAATGGTATATTTTATATAAATATATTTATAAAAATCATATGCCTTAAATGTTATAAATATATAACTTTATGTTTATATGAATATATTTAATATTTCAGATACAATATTTGAATTTTTATATGTAAAATAATAAAAATATAACATATATAAAATGTTAAAACTATTATATCAGGATAAAAATTGTATATATTGGAAATGCCATTACCAATTTTTTAAAATCTGTGCACTGGGGGAAAAAACTGAAATAAATGCACAGGAATGTTAACACAATATTTGTATTTGTGTGATGAGACCCTGGCTGTCATTTTCTTTTCTCCATTATGCTAAATCTTATTTAATGGACTATGCACTACTTTTACGATAAAACAATTTTTAAAAAGAAAGGAAATAAATGAGAAGGAGCACTGCTGAGAGGTAAGGAAATGGCATAATTAAAGCAGCTGGTTACCATTTAGTGTATAATTAAACTTTTACTCTGGCAAGGTACTTTTTAGGAGATCATAAATGATAACTAAGTTATATAGTATTTGTGCTGGAGAGACACCCTGCCTAATTTTGTCATTTGACAAGTACAAGGAAAAGTTACGTTTATATGATGCTTTATAGTTTACCAAATGCTTTCAAAATGTCACATCATCTATCCTTCAAAGAATCCCGTGAGACAGATTCATACGCCCCACTTCAGGGCTTCCCAAGTGGCGCTAGTGCTAAAGAACCTGTCTGCCAATGCAGGAGACATAAGAGACGCGGGTTCGATCCTTGGGTCGGGAAGATCCCCTGGATCTCCGCAACCCACTTAGGTATTCCTGCCTGGAGAATCCCAAGGACATTAGAGCCTGGCGAGCTACAGTCCATGGGGTCGCAAAGAGTCGGACACGACTAAAGCGACTTAGCACGCCCCACTTTCAGGATCAGAAAACCGAGGGCTAGAGAGATAATGTATTTATTAATAGTATTTACCATTTACCGACTGATCACTCAAAGTGTTAAGCACAACAGTCACGTGAAAATTATCACCACTTTACAGATCAGAAAACTGAAGGGTATAGGTTACAGCTGAGAGTCACCGTTCTGACTCGAAGCCACAATTTGAAACAGAGGAGTCTTGAGTTATAATCAACTTTGAGGAGTCTTAGTGGTAGAGTCGAGCCCAATACCCTATGCTTTCTCTACACCACTGGTCTCCCCTCCTCGCCTACGATTCTTTGAAGAGTGACTTAGGTTGACAACCACTATGGGGGTCTAGAGAGAAAAAGACTAGGTCCAGTAATAATCAAAAACTAATGCTAGCGGAGGGCCTGGTCTCAGGAGGAAGGCAAGGCAGTGAATAACTGAGAATGGAGGGGGCAAGTTTAAGAAGTCTTAACATATACACATGGGGCGGGGGGTGCAGAGGAACAAGAGCAGGGATGACAACATAAATCACGAATCCTGCACCTGACGCTCGCGTTCCTAGGTTCAATTCCTAGAGAGCCTTTTCTCTTCACCTCAACGGCTGCCCGCCGACAACCCCTGGGTTGAGGTCCTACTTAAAAGAAAACGCTGGAACAAACCCCAATGGTGGGCCAGGCAGAAACAGAGAAGCAACGAGTATTGTAGCTAACAGTGGACGGGGAACTAGGCACCCTGACCACATCTGAGCGGCACCCGAGGGGCCTCGGGCCACCACCGAAGGGAGAAAGAGCCCAGCGCTCGCGGCGAGGACCGAGGCCCCGAGAGAGGCCGCGGTGCTGGGACTGCCGCCCGCCGAGGCTCGTCCTGGGGCTTGGAGGCCGGCCCAGGAGCCTGGCTACTCACGTTGCACTAGCCGGTCTGCGGAGAAGGTAGAGGAGCAGCTGGTAACGAGGGCGCAGGGGACGCCCGCAGCCATCACTGCGCCCGCGAACCGGTTCCTTCCCGGAGCCACTTCCGCCTTGGGCGATACCAAGATCGCCGGCGCGCGGGGGAGACGCCCAAGGAAAGCGCGTTCTCAGAAGCCACGGCCGGCCCTGCCTCCTCGCCCGCCCCCTCTTCCGCTCCCGGCGTGGACCAGGCTGGGCTTCGCGTGGCGTTGCCATGGGGACGAGCTCCCACCGCAGCAGGTTCCGGAGTCTGGAGACCGCGCCTTCCTGGGGAGGGAACCCCGCCGGGCTGTAGGCATGGCCCAGGAGAAGGAAAACGAAGACCCTATCGGATCTATCTTAATCCAGGTGGGAAATGGGCCTCTCCTAACCCTGTCCATCTAGAACCCTTCCAGCGAGCGAGGCCCAGCAGAGCCCATCCACTGACGCTTTCCCACTTAAAAGTGCCGCTTCTCAGATTGCCTCCAACACCACGGTTTAAAGAACTCCCAAGTGTGCTAACCTAGACTTCTCTCGTCAGCCTCACACACCTCTTGAGCCTGACGCTGGAAGTTGCGCGACCGAAGTGCGAGCAGTCCGAATTCTGGTAGAACTCCAGGACGAAAAAAAAACAACTCCGTGACGATACACCCCGCTGGGACCTTTACTTTGGAAAAATCCTTGTTCCATTGAGGCACCATTTTTAAATGTTATATTCTGAAAATTTTGATCCTACGATGTAAGGGAAGTGGAGGAGATACAAATCAGACACGTATCTGGGCGGAAATTGAAATAGGTGAACTGCTTTTGATCTCCTGCATTGCAGGCGGATTCTTTACCAGCTGAGCTACAAGGGAAGCCCTGCTTTTCTTAAGTACCCCAATTTTTTTCGCTCTAAAAGTCCCTTGCATATAATGGAGTTCTGGGGAGGTAATGCACACCGTAGTGATTACAGTTAATAATACTGTATATTTGAAAGCGGCTGAGTAAATCTTCCAAGTTATCATCACAAGAAAAAGGTTGTATTATAACTATACGTTGTGATGGATGTTAACTAGCCTCACTGTGGCAATTATTTAACAATATATACAAATATTGACTGATGTTGTCCATGTGAAACTAATATAATGTTTATGTCAATTATATCTCAATAAAAAATAATAAAAATTCCTTACTTGGGAACAAGATAAAAGCTTGCTAATCAAGTTAAATTTTGCATGTGGAAATGTGACCAAAAGCACAGGAAAGTAACTTTCTCTAATCTGAGGGGGGAACATCAGGAAAGTTTTAATCTCTCAGTACAACTCAGTTTGTGACCTTTACACTCAGACTTTCCCAGAATGTTAAAAGTACTACTCCCCCCCCCACACACACACACACATTTATATGTGATAGTTTTAGAACATTTTTGACATATCATCACCTTTAACTCATATATAACTCTACTTAACTAAAAGTTTGAAGTAATTTCCCTAAGGACTATCAGAACTCTACTCAGATCTGCACTTGGTCTAATTTTTCTTCCTGCCATGATTTGGTCTCTTACCTCCCCTCTGGGAGACTTCTTTAAATTCACGTTTCCAAAATACAAACCCGTAAACTCACCAATTTTATAGACTTCCCCAATATGAATCATACCCAGATCTTCTTACCTCACCTTTTCTTGCTTTCACCATCACCTTAGAATGAGTTTAGCCAAACTGCCAAGTGTGAGGGAAGAGTCTCCACAGGACTGCCCTCGCTTAGACTCCAGACACAAGTTCAGGGGTCCCTAGAACCATCCTTATTTCAGACCAGCTGTCTACACTTTTGGAAGCCCCAACCAAGTCACGTTGGCTAATTTGCTAGAGCACTCACAAAACTCAGAAAAGCACTGTGTTTATAATTACAGTGTTTTTATAGCAAAAGAGTAGAAATTAAAATCAACCAAGGGAAGAGATGCTCAGGGCAGAGTCCAGAAGGGGTACAAATGGAGCTTCCAGCCATTTTCTCCCAGTGGAGTCATAGAGGGCATTACCTCCTTTCAGTCATGATATGTGACAACATATACAGATTATGGCCAACTAGGGAAGCTTTCCCAAGACTTTAATGTCCAGAGGTTTTATTGGAGCTCAGTCACAATGCCCATTTGGCTGACTTTAGTCTTCAGCCCTTCCCAGAGAGCAGACTAATAATTTCAATCTAATTCCTCTAGAGATTAGAACTGATACAGCATAGCTCAAAGCACCCATCATAAACCCCATTCCCATCAACTGGGATACTCCAGGGGCCTAGTGATCACTTCCCAGGGCCTAAGGGCAGAGGCTGGATCTCTCTTTGGAAAGAACTAGGAATAATCATATCCATGTTGATCAACACCCCTACTTGCTTAAAAGGGTTACTTTGTACACACTTAAGTGGAGGGCTATGTAGAGAAAGAGAGGCCACCCCTTAATCTAATTATTGAGTCTGATCTGTAGATACAGTGTAAAATTCCCCCTGATACAATGTAGAATATGTATAATGAGGGGAAAAAAATTAATATTATATGTAATCGTGAATGGATATGAGAGATGGACTATAGAGAAAGCTGAGTGCCAGAGAATTAATGCTTTTGAACTGTGGCATTGGAGAAGACTCTTGAGAGTCTGTTGGACTGCAAGGAGATCCAACCAGTCCATCCTAAAGGAAATCAGTCCTGAATGTTCACTGGAAGGACTGAAGCTGAAGCTGAAGCTCCAATACTTTGGCCAACTGATGCGAAGAACTGACTCATTGGAAAAGACCCTGATGTTGGGAAAGGTTGAAGGTGGGAGGAGAAGAGGATGACAGAGGATGAATGAGATAGTTGGGTGGCATCACCAACTCGATAGACATGAGTTTGGGTAAACTCCAGGAGTTGGTGATAGACAGGGAGGCCTGGCATGCTACAGTCCATGGGGTCACAAAGAGTCGGACGTGACTGAGTGACTGAACTGAACTGACTGAACTCTTATGAACCTCTTCTGTCTGGTTTGCCAGGACTGTACAACATATAACAATAAAATGAGAATGACTCATTTAAACTCTTATCTTTAGCTTTTATCTCAAAGTGTGACCCTAGGACTAGTAGAGAAATGGAATTATAAGACTGCTTTTGACAAAACTGAGTCTTGTTGCTTGGCTCTTAAATTCTAGGAAATTCCCTGGCAGTCCAGTGGTTAAGACTCCTCATGCCAAGAGCCCAGGTTCAATCCCTGGTTGGGGAACCAAGACTTGGAACTAAGATCCAAGTCTTTTGGTATGGCAAAAGACTAAAAAATAATTTAAATTGTAGAGCAATTTTTGTCTGCATTAGATCTTTTGAGAGCTTATTATAAGTAGCCCTGTTCCCAAACTGTCAAAATCTTCCTCCCAAGTGGGAAATGTATGGAAAGCAATGTATTTGATGATCACAAAAATGATGGATGACACCTAAAATTTCAGTATGGAAGAGTGAATCTATTTGAAGAAAGAACAAAGATTTAGAACTTAATCTTTTTCTACCCAGGTCTGGTGAAACATTTCCTACAGTATTTGTCTCTGTTGCAGCTATACAAACAGATGTGCAGTTACTAAGAGGGAAGAAGACAATACCTGGCTAGGAAAGTAAAAAGCTCTTGAGAAAGATTAAGAGAATAATTCAAATCAATTAATATTTACTAAGTGCCAGTTACAAAGTGTTTCACGAGGTTTTACCAATCAGAAGAGAATTAGCGTTGTCTCAGTGCTCTCCTCTGTGGCTGGTCCTGTACAAAGCACTTTACATATTTTTAACTCATTTTATTCTTGCCACTATATTGAAAGGTGCTATTTATCCCCATTTTACAGATAAGAACACTAAGCCTCTTTAAAAAAAAAAGTAAATTGGCCTATCTCAGTTTAGTAAAGAAGGGAATAGAATTCTAGTTCATAGCGGTCTGATTCCAAAGCCTATATTAGTTCATTTTCACATGTATTGTCTCATTTTATTCCATAAGAAGAGTAATTCTCTTTTTCTCCCTTGGTGAGGACACTAGAGGAAATGTGGATGGTGTGCATGGACATTGTGTGACTAGTAATAGAACAAGGAATCGTGTTCATCTGCCTTTTACCGAGTTACTACTGTTAGACTATTACCTATTATCTCACAACTCTATGAAGACATAATGGTTCCTACAAAGCAGATGAAGTAGCCAGATTTTCAGTTCCCTGATAAATAATCCAGTGTTGTTTTCACTCCCTCCAGCAGTTGACAGGTATAATTATAGAAGGATACATGAAGCTACAAATACTAGAGCTACAAGAAGGAAATTGAGTGCATTCAAAAGTTGAGCCAAGGGCTTCCCTGGTGGTCCAGTGGTTAAGAATCCTCCTGCCAATACAGGGAACACGGGTTCAATCCCTGCTCTCCAAAGATCCCAACTGCCTTGTGGCAACGAAGCCTGTGAGCTACAACTACTGAAGCCCGTGTGCCTAGAGCCCGTGCTCTGCAACAAGTCACCACAATGAAAAGTCCATGAACAACTAGAGAAAAATGAAGACCCAGTGCAACCATAAAGATATAAATCTTAAAAAAGAAAAAGTTAAGCCAAAAAATTACGGGCCTGGAAGTGGGCTTGCCCTTGAACTGGCTTTTTCTACTTTCCAAATGTGTTTAGACAATAGACTGTAAATAGCTTGCAGCAGTAATTTGGACAAAAAAAATCGAAAAAAGTATTAATACATCTTCATCCTTAGTGCCTATCAGCAAACAGTAGGTGTGTTCAAATTTCAATCTGTGAGCCCTGGAGGCTCGACATGATAATTTGTGCAGGGTACAAATGACCTGATCCGTCTGCCAAACCATACTGCTCATCAGGGAAAAGATGCAAATCTTTTGATCTTTCAAATACTTGACTCCTTGGGAATGTTTGAGAGTAATTGATAACATAGGCTGGATCAATGTGTAGGTCCAGTTATACCAACAGAGAAAAAGGTAACTGTTTCAAAATGCCTTTAGCAACCCAATCTGCAGATTGTTATTGGTGTGACTATTGCTGAAACAGGTGTTGGGTTCATAAATTTGCATAGCAAAATGTTTCTCATGGGGCAGCAGCCCATGCCATAATTGGTGCCATCTATATTTGTCTCCACAAGTTTGGTTTCTAATATGAAGGCAGAGAATCTTGTGCTAATTTTATAATGCTCATGTTACTTGGAGGGTGCTTGACTTTGGAGAAATGTTCATCATTTCTAAGGGAAATATGAACTGAAGGAAAATATTCAAGTAATGACATGTTGCTTTTTCTTCATGGATTGTTTTCATTTCTGAGTACTTAAAACAAAATTAAGGTCACACCTACAGAACTGCTTCTTCAGAGCACTAAGTGGGAAGATCTAGCTAGAATGGAAAACCAACAGACCCTGTCAACATATTTATAATTCTCTTTTGACAGGCACTGTTTTCACTAGAACCTCTCTTTTCTGGAAGTTTTCTTTTTTCTTTTTAACCTGTCAATCAATTAGTAGAAATCAGAGTTTGGAATGAACTTTTTCTTATATCTGAGTCACCTTCTTTTCCACCAGAGAAAGCAGAAGTTATTTGGGTTGCAATTTTATCTTGGATCTGTTTCCAATGGGGGAAGGACAAATAGAAAATTCTATGAAATCTTAATTTTTCAAAATCTGAAAGACAGTAATGGAGCCATCTAATAAAGCACATCCTAGAACTACAAGGACAGTCTTTTCAATGAACACTATCTTTAAATCAACTTTATTGTCTCTAGCAATTCATGCAGGTTGCAAACCTTTAAGCTAAGTAACTGTTTTAGGTGTAAAATTTATGTATTCCTTTACATTTTTCTCTCTCTAGGTCCATGAAGATCTTTATGAATTAAGGAAGAAATTAACAAAATTCCCGCTTGAGGAAAAAGGCGGGGCTCTAGACATTCAGAATCTTGAAACAGCAATCAAAAGGACTGAAATGGGGTTAAAAGTAAGTAGAGCTTTAGATATTAAATAAAATCCTGGAAGGAGACAAAGATTCCTCAAGAAGAACTGTGCTTCTCACAGGTTCTGTGTAATTCTGTAACAGAGGGGACTTCGGTTGGTCATCAGCTTTCCCATCCTGTTCCTTTTTTAAGAATGTTGATTATTTGCTGGTTGATTGATTTACATCCTGTCACATGCCACAAAGAATGTGAGATATGGAAAATATATGATTATGTAGTAATTTATGACCCCTAAAATGTGGTTTGATAAAAAGAATTTATAATTTTAAAAATAACTACTTAGTCCAACAGTATGCCTGAAAGAAAAGGATTCATACCAATACATTGCAGAGAGTTTCTATCAGAATCACTGGGATTCTAAAAAAATAAGAGTTCACTCTTCCTTAATAGCTTAAGTATTTTAAGATTAAGTAATTTTTAAATATTATAACCTAGTACATAACACTGGAAATAGAAATAAAGTAGATAGGAGGACTTTCCTATGGTGGTCCAGTGGCTAAGACCCCATGCTTCTAATGCAGGGGGGCCTGGGTTCAATTTCTGCTCAGGATATGAGATCCCACATGCTGTAACTAAGAGTTCACATGCCCCAACTAAAGGTCCCATGCATGCAATGAAGACCTGGCATAGCCAAATAAATAAATAAATATTTAAAAAATAAAGTAGATAGGACCTTCATTATTATAGATAGACCTAAGGGCACGGGGGAATCCAATCTTCAGACTAGGATAATGTACAAAATCAGGATCTATTAGCAGGTGGTTCCAATAAAGACCACGTCCATCATCTAGACCTCCATCAGCATCTCTACTCTTGCTTCCAACCTTCACTGTTCCATCTTGCTGGCTTTCTAGCTCAGCTCCTGAGGCTGAGAGATGTGGTAATATGCTGTTGTCCTATATAACGTGATGGTGAGAGGGCTGGACCCAGCTGGAGTCTTTGGGTTTGGCCATTTAAAATAATCTGTTACCTGAAGGCCAAACTCTTTGCTCAGATGCTTGCTTGAAGTCCTAGTCAGAGAAAGACATTCTGTGTCCATGGTACCGAGCAAGTCTCCCCGACCAAGGAGCAAACTGACTACTGTGCAGTTTCATTTGTGAAGAATGCTACTTAAGCTTCGAGTCTCAACTGTTCATGATGCTTTTTGGGATGAAGTAATTTGCCCTTGAGATGCCTAGTGATACCTTAGGGTTGTAATAAACACATAGCATGTTATGTCTTTTGGCTTAATTACACCACTCAGAGGGTGAACCTAATGAAATGGAGAAAATTAGGTGAGGATTTCCAGTCCACTCTAATGGCCTAAACTTTTACTTTTCTGTAACAGATACACATCGAGAAGTATTTAAACGTTGTACACCAACATGTGTTAACAACTCCTATTGATTATAACTTATATTCGTCTCATGATTCCAAATGGTAAGTAAAATAGCCATTTTAGGGTCTAAAATAAGTACAAAAATAAAAAAAACCTTTTCTCACTCAGTGAGATTACTGTAAAGACAAAATTTCCTTGGCTTTGTTTATATCCATTCTACTAATTTCCATACAAGTTTTGCATATGAAGATAATGGCAGAATTTAAACTTTAATAAAGTTATTCTGTGTTATTTTTACTGCATTTTAATGCTTGACATCATTACAGTTATTTCTGGGTCCTAGTTTTGGTGTTACACCTTTTGTATTTTTAGTAAAGCATATCCCAAATTCAAAGGCTTCGCTGGTTGCTCAGTGAGAAAGAATCTACCTTTCAATGCAGGAGATGCAGATTCAATCCCTGGGTCAGGAAGATCCCTTGCAGAAGGAAATGGCAACCCACACCAATATTCTTGCCTGGGATGTCCCATGGACAGAGGACGCTGGTAGGCTACAGTCTATTGGGTCACAAAAGAATCAGACACGACTTAGTAACTAGATAATAACAACAACATACCAAATTCAATTCCTATAGGAAATATTTTAAAGCAAATCAATTTTTATGCTATTTAGATCATGTGGAGCTTTCTTTACAGTTTTTAGCCTGTCATATGTGCTTTACTGTAAAGATGATTTTAGTATCCAGGGTAAACAAAACAAAAGTAATAAAACTTGCTTGAAATGGTGGCTCAGACGGTGAAGAATCTGTCTGCAATGTAGGATACCCAGGTTCAATCCCTGAGTCAGGAAGATCTCCTGGAGAAGGGAATGGCTACCCACTCTAGTATTCTTGCCTGGGGAATTCCATGGACAGAGGAGCCTGGTGGGCTGCAGTCCACGGGGTCCCAAAGAGTCAGACACAACTGAGCAACTGACATATACATTAATAATACAACCTAAGAGATGATTTATTAAAATTAGTAAAATGACCTTTTCACACACAACTATATATAAAATAGATAACTAATAAGGACCTACTGTATGGCGCAGGGAACTCAATGCCCTGTAATGATTTATATAGGAAAAGAATCTAAAAAACAGTGGATATATGTATCAGTATCAGTATCTGTTCAGTTGCTCAGTTGTGTCCGACTCTTTGGGACCTTCTAAACCACAGCATGCCAGACCTACTTGTCTATCACCAACTCCTGGAGTTCACCCAAACTCATGTCCGTTGAGTTGGTGTTGCCTTCCAACCATCTCATCCTCTGTTGTCCCCTTCTCCTCCTGCCCTCAATCTTTCCCAGCATCAGGGTCTTTTCAAATGAGTCAGCTCTTTGCATCAGGTGGCCAAAGTACTGGAGTTTCAGCTTCAACATCACTCCCTCCAATGAACACCCAGAACTGATCTCCTTTAGGATGGACTGGCTGGATCTCCTTGCAGTCCCAGGGACTCTAGAGTCTTCTCCAATACCACAGTTCAAAAGCATCAATTCTTCGATGCTCAGCTTTCTTTATAGTCCAACTCACATCCATACATGACTACTGGAAAAACCATAGCCTTGACTAGATGGACCTTTGTTGACAAAGTAATGTCTCTGCTTTTTAATATGCTGTCTATGTTGGTCATAACTTTCTTTTCAAGGAGTAAGTGTTTTTTAATTTCATGGCTCCAATCANCTTTCTTTGGCATTGCCTTTCTTTGGGATTGGAATGAAAACTGACCTTTTCCAGTCCCATGGCCACTGTTGAGTTTTCCAAATTTGCTGACATATTGAGTGCAGCACTTTCACAGCATCTTCTTTTAGGATTTGAAATAGCTCAACTGGAATTCCATCGCCCCCACTAGCTTTGTTTGTAGTGATGCTTCCTAAGTAAGGCCCACTTGACTTCAGATTCCTGGATGTCTGGCTCTAGGTGAGTGTATATACTCTAGGTGAATATAAATATATAACTGATTATAAACCAACCATAGAAAAAAAATTAAAAACAAATAAAAAGAGAAATAACCTTTTCTTACTTTGGACCTTCTTCCATCCAGGCCTTCTGAATTGAAGTGAACGTAGATCAAGGTTTTGTATGAAGCTTAAAACCCTGTGGTCCTTTTTGCATCATAAATATTTATCAAGAGTAAATGAATCATATCAGACAGGGAGGTCAAGTTTCAGAGAGAAACCCAGAGATACAATCAGATCCCAGCTTTTGTAGTGGGGAATAGAGCCTTGGGTGTTCAATGTACCCGTTTCCCTTTCCACTCCATGAAGGTAGTGCCACAGGCAACCGTCATCCATTGGCAGAGGCAACCCTTCCCTAGTCTGTCTAGTTTGAAGTCATTTATATCTTAGGGTTTTGTTTGTTTGTTTTGGCCATACTGTGCAGCTTGTGGGATCTTAGTTCCCCCATCAGATATCAAACCCATGCCCTTGGCAATGAAAGCATGAAGTCTTAACTACTGGACCACCAGGGAATTGCCCTATCTTAGATTTTTTATTTTATTTATTTATTTATTATTATTTTTTTTTAGATTTTTTAATTTGAAAATAAAAATATGATTTTCAAATAGGTTTTTATAAATCATCTTTTGAAACAAGGAATCTGTAGGAAAAATAACAAAAGGGATTCTTGGAGAAGAAAATATTAGAGGTTATTTTACTACCTCTTATTGACTCAGTTCTAAATGAAGAGAACAGGGACTTCCCTCATGTCCAGCAGTTAAGACTCCACACTCTCAATGCAGGGGGCCTGGGTTTGATCCCCAGTCAGGGAACTAGACCCTGCATGCAACAACTAAGACCCCGCACAGCCAAGTAAATAATATTGAAAATAATAATAAATCAAGAGAGCCACACAAGGCAAAGTGGGAGGACTATTTAGATGGCAGCCAGGAGATCTATAGTAGGTGGTGAGTGTGCATTCAAGAGATGGAGTGTACACACAGCAATAAGAAAGCTCCAGCATGCAGAAGGTAGGGAAAGTAGGACAGGAGAGGAGAGATGGGAGACGAGGTACCTGTCACCAGCTCTAAAGAAGTTCTCCTGTCCTGTCTCCAATTCCTCTTTGTCTTCTCATCTTGACGGAGTACAGAGTTTCTGGGCTGTAGTTGTGCATGCTATGATAGCTGAAGAGAACAGACGAGGTAGCAGAGAACCAAATACAAAGATTCTGGCAGAGCACTTTGCTTGTACAGTTCCCCATGGCCAAGGAGCGCCCTTGCCCCTGTTAGGGTCCGGAAGAGTGAAGAAAGATGTGAACTGGGGCATGGAGCTAGCACCCAGAAATGGTCTTTGCCTCCTTCCTTTCCTGTTCAATAAAGTAATACAACCACTGGCTGTCTTATCAGGAAGATGGGAGCCTGGCAAGTTTGTGGGAGCCCTACAAGCCTGGGGGAGCATCTCAGTCACAGCTGTGGATTTGGGATGCTTAAGTGGCCTACAATTTGAAAATGAGATGAAGTGAGCCATGGTCAAAAACTGGAGAGAGTCCAAACTGGGTCTTCAAAGTAGGCAGGTCCAAGGCAGTCACTGGGAGTGGAAGATATAACCTTTTATATATAGGATGGATAAATGACAAGGTCCTACTGTATAGCACAAAGTACTATATTCAGTATCTTATGATAAACCATAATGGAAAATAATATTTTAAAAAGAATGCATGTATATGCATAACTGAATCACTTTGCTGTATAACAGTAATTAACACAACACTATAATCCAACTATACTTCAATTTTTAAAACTTAAAGGCCCAGGTTAGAGTCCAGTCAGCTGTCTGCAAGTGTCCTCTCCTACACCATAACTATATAAAAGCCAAGAAGTCTAATTTTCACAGAGGATGGTTTTCTTTTTTCCCCAGTATTGCTCAAGAAAAAATCTGGTGGTTTTGTCTAGTAGAGACAAAACCCAGTAGGTTCACAACATGATGACAATGGATTCCAGCAAATGGAAGATTTCCCCAGCAGTCGTTCAGAGAACAATGATAAGGGTATTATCAAAAGTGCTATATGTTCTCCAAAGAGCTCCAAGTGCTTTTGTATTGTTTTCAAAATAGGTTTCATTATTATTCCCACTTTGGCAATGAGTCTTCTTCTGTGTCAAAGTGTGGTTCTTCCTCTTACCATAGCTGGCTTGCACAGATTTTATTGCATGAGATATCTGCTCACACTGTTCTTAACGACCACGCTTTGCTTATTGACACTAGGAGGCTGACTACCATCTGTACCAACACCATCAGAACTGCACAGAAATCTTCATTTTATATTCTGTTGCACTAGTGTTTGAGGGGGGAAAAAAGAACAAAGCAAATAAATAATAGTGAGAAACAATGAGAAGGAAAGAAGAGGTTTCTGTTAAATGATAAGCATAGATTACAAGGTATATTCTCACTCCACTATTGGACCCACTTAGAGCCATCCTCTTCTTCATCGTTACAAGGCAGCACACAAATCCCACTTATGCAGAATGTGACCACATCCTAGTGACAAAGGGAGACAAAGCACAGGAGACAAGATGTTTACACCTGGTCATCTAGGTGAAGGGTATTTGCATGCTCACTATCCTTTCAGTTTCTTTGTGGCTTTGAAGCTTTTTGAAACAAAAAATAAAAATTTTAAGAAGCATCATAAAATAACAAATAGGAAAAACAGCTCCAACATATGTTACACAAAAATTACTAATACTCTTAAACACAAAGTGTTTTCTTGCCATAATCATAATAAAAAACCTTGACATAGACAAAATGACATCAGTGGACTACTCACAGATCTAGAAATGCAAATAACCAGTAAATATGTGAAAAATGTTTAATAGCACTGTTGAACCATAGGAATACAAATTGAACTGTATAATGTGTTGGCTAAACAGTTCATTTAGGTTCTTCTATAACATCTTACAGGGAACTTCCCTGGTGGCTCAGATGGTAAAGCGTTTACCCGCAATGCGGGAAGCCTGGGTTCAATCCCTGGGTCAGGAAGATCCCCTGGAGAAGGAAATGGCAACCCACTCCAGTACTCTTGCCTGG